GTTTTCCATAAATACTATAGGGTATAATGAAATTAAACAATTTTTGATTTAATTATGCTAACAGTTATACGTCTTTAGTTAACCGCTAAATTAAAAATACTAAATTTAGAAATCATCTAATGACATACAATATTAGCACTGCCTACGATTTGAATAATGATAAGGGAATCTTCCGATAAAAGTTAAATTAGAAAGTATAAAACTTACAACTTTACAATGTAATGTAGTCTTAAGCCGTCGCTCTAGACTGTTTGTCTGTTTGTCGCAGATATGATATAGAACACCCCCAATATCAGTTGTTATTCAACGTGCTATTGCCCAAGAGTCAGGGTTTATCGTTTTGTATCAGGGAAACGTGGATACTTATCGAATTATAATGAATATAATAATTTAATGTTTACTGTTCAATTAATCTCGCCTTGCGTCAGAAAACGGCGGCATATTATTATTTTTTTGACATTAACAGCAATCACACGTCTCGTATTAAATTTTTAGAGACATCGGGTCTTGCCACTGAAAGATTGCTCGTCTGATACATGTACTATTTAATTCCGCCATATTATCCGATGCTCTTACTTTCTTATGTTATGTGAAACTAGACTTAACTTTTTCTTAAATATCTAGACGTATTGAAGACAAATCATATCTGACACTTCATAACACTATTGTTTTATTTAACTACGGCAAAATACACATTGACATCAATTATCATAATTTTAAACCAGGTTTACCTAAACGTCACGATGATTTGTTCCTTTGTTTTCGTTTGCTTTCCTTTGTTATCATTTCTATCTCTCTTATAAAATAAAGTGTCATCTACTAGTGATGTTGCTGATCTTGGCTAACAATAATTGCAGTCGTGGATTCATAATGTATTAAAGATAGAGAAATAGGTCCCTAGCATTCTATTCGGCCAATATCATTTTGAATTGGATCGAATATAAAGATATAAACCGAACGTGACTTTAGCAAACTCAACTAAACACTACATTGTAAGTCAGGCTCTCAAGCAAACCAGGTTTACACATCGGGAACTCATTTCGATATTAACGTTTATTCTTTAGTTTGAAACGATTTCTTACGCAATTTGGAGCACGTCCAGGAGGAGTTACAGACGGGCCTTTAAATGGGTTTCGAGTGTGCCACTGTCAGGGCGATTCAAATATTTACTGTGAACATTAAACAAATTCTTCTCGTATAATGCAAACCTGGAAGATTAAGCCGCTTGGCACCCCTCCATACATAGATACAGCTATCTAGTATTGAAATCGATCTTGCACTTGAAAGCAATGTAGACTTTTGGCTGGAAAACGATTAATCAAAATAGACATTATAAATTTAGTAGGTACAATATGTTGTACACTGCTAATATTGTAATGGTAGTATTCCAAATGTGGTTTTATTCTAATCCCGACGTGTAAGGTGTGATTCTATGAAATTAGATGATCTGCTTAAAGTACCTACAGATGAGATTTTTATTAAGGATCTATATATTGTTTTCGTGATTTTACGCGAATATTAAACATATTAAATGAAACTACTTTACGGATTTTATCGCGTTTTTTATTTTGATTTAAATTCCCGACGTTTCGAACCCTTTCCAGCGTTATAAAAAGTAGTTTCATTTAATAAGGATCTATATATTAATAAGTGAAACAAAAATTTTGTTTCCCTTTTTACGAAAATTGTATGAAAATTCCCACATTTATAGTTTATATAGAGGTTTTGCAGAATGCTAATATTTAACATTATACATAAAAATACATTAAATCATTAAAAAAATACAAAAACATTACACACTACGATGTATTTGACACACACACGCATATATATTCTTTTGTTTATTCAGAATAGGTTAATAATGTTCAAAGTTATGATGCAAATTAATAATCGTCGAATTTCGACAGCTGGGTGACCACTAGTATTTATAAGACCGTCACATATAGAAAATTAATTGAATACTAACTATTATTGTTATTATATCAATAATGGGTGATATCTAAAAATTCCATTCGAGAATCTCAAGTTAATTTAAAAACAGGTGACAATATTATAATGCGCTGGTATAAAAAAAATATTATTATAGTTCCTTAAAATGATTTCAAAGCACATTATACCACATACGAAGTTCAATCTAACTGTCACGGGACTAACCTTAGCGACGCTAAATAATAAGGAATATCCGCAATTGCGTCTCGGCTGATGTTATCGTCCACATCCGGCGGACCTCTCTACGGGAAGTCGTGTCGATATCACATCCTCTGCGATTGAGATAACAAGGTGCGATAATCATTTGCAAGGATTGTTTGAGGAAAGCGCGCGAGGTTTTATTTTGATAAGTTTTTGTTATAGGATGAATTTTAATTAGCTTTAATTTAAATGCATATCACACACACTCACGCCCGGTTTCTGAAACACTGATCATCGTAGATGTCAACTAATCCGAATTGACCAGAATGATCTTCTAATGATCAGAACGATCAATCCAAAGAGTTTAACCATACTTTTGGCAACTAAAATGAAATTTGAAAACCATTTGACAGCTGATTAGTTGACATCTACGATGATCAGTGTTTCAGAAACCGGCCGTAAGAGTGGTAGTTGCCATTAAAATTAAAGTTAACTAAGCCCACCATCTGTTACTTTTGCGCTTCTTACGGTGAGTGATGTAACCGGGGCCCACTTCTGCAAGAGTTTGGCAATGCATCTGCAACCCTCCAGGCGCAACATTGTATTTTTAGTACCCGGTTGTGAAGGGACCCCCACGTTAGGGGACCTCTACTCTTTTGATCCGTTGGCGCGGGATCCAAAAAGGTTTTTTACGTGGGCAAAAGCCCACGTAAAAAAGGTTATTCCCGGGGAAGTAAAACGTTCTAAAAAATACAGAAGTGAAGTAGAAGTATTAACACTTATGCGTTACATCCTGTGAGCTCTTCTTTTACGTGAAAAGTATAATTTTGATGTCGATTTTACGATAAAATTATGTATGGACAAATGCACAGCTGTAGTGGTTAAGTGAAATCATTATATTGGAAAGGTATACGAACTTTGATAGATTATATCTATCCGCATCGTAGGTTTCGAACGTGAGTAAATTAATTAGTATTATTTGAACGACGGAAAGCGACTACGTTGTTCCACTGCTACCGCTGTTATGAAATTTTGCGAAGCAATTTGCAACTCCCCTTTTAAAATAAAAGCCTATTCGCGTATTCTATAACTACGTAAAATGTAAATTTAATTTATTTACACCGTGTCTGCTGTCTGAGAGCTATCTTTAAAGTAAACGGAGTATATTTCAATGATCTTGGCAATCCTCTAGGTACAAATAAGTTTAACTGAGCTTTTTCACCCATGGCTTATCCATGTGATATGATTTCTAAACAAAATGGGCAACTATTACATAATTGGTATCCGTGATATTCTAGCGGGTGTCTTGTATCAATTCAAAGAAGTTAAACTGTTGCTGCGTACAGACAACGCATCAGTAGCTCCCACTACACGAATGGAACGGGAAATAATCACAAAATCAATGTAGTAGTAAATTTAAAAGTATTCATACTTTTCATTTAACCATCACCCCACCATGCCTTGTTGCGAGACTCTATGGGTATCGATCCTCACTCAGTCAGGTGAACCGTTTGCTTAAAAAAGTGTAACGAAAAGCCACACAGATTTTAGCGTTTATAATATTAGAGCGATTTCGCATGATGCCATAACACCCGAATAGTTTATTTTTGTCCTGGTCTACGTCTAATTCAGCGCCACTTTGTCTGAGATCCGCGTAAGTGGAGCAAGATCGATCAGCATTAAACTTGCTCTAGTTTCGAGATACCGTATATAGTTAGAAGATTGTTGGATATTTTTCCCACTTTAAGGTTTTAAGACAGCAAATTTTTACTCCGTTCTCTGAACGAATAATAAAGATATTAAAGTTGGTTTTCTGCGTATAAAAATGGGTAAGTTATTCACTTTGTAGTATGTGATGGAAAACAATGTCATGTCCGCGAAAATCAAGAACGTCAAATACTTATGGTATTGCAAAATATAATTAATAGAATTCACAGTATTGTGGTTTAACTTAAAATAAGTTGTCGCGAAATCAAATCTTCCAATCGGTTGTAGTGTTTTCATTTAAATATTACAGAAGTACTTTCAACGGCTTTATCTCATATTGTCTTGAGTTATTAGAAAAATTTTACGGTTATATCGTATTAACTTGAATACGATAAAATTCGTAAAAGTATCATTATTTAATATTGTGTAGTGTTCGCGTAAATAGAAGAAATTCTTTATAAAGTAATCCTATTGTTATAGTGCCAAATCTCAGAAATGAATCAAATGTTATAAAATTTCCCTCAGAGGGGAAAAATCTGAACCATTTTTGTATGAAATAAGATTATAATGAGTGAGAATATTTTTAGACGGCTATTTTAAGGAAAACAAGTTTCGTGACTTTTGTCACGCTGAATATGACGGACGCTCCCAAATATCGCATGTGTTAATAATATTTCGCATTGACCTCGAGATGGAGCGTTCTTTCGATTACTGAACCATCATTCGTTTTAATTTACGATTGTTTACATTTTACGCTACACTAGTTAATTTGTGAAATATTCGTGATTCAAAAGTTTGCATGGTTTTTATTATTTTTTTGAAATGAATATAAAATATAGTAAAAGAAACTTAAGAGAAATAGGGGTGAGAATATAGAAACAAAAACATATGAATGTAAAGGGCAAATACGCTCATTTTTAAAGTGGCAAGAAATAATAAAGTTCAGTTGTTTTTTTTGAGTACTAAACCTCAGGTGTTATACATGCCTGCTATGTATAACAGCCTGCTCGCTTGACAATTTTGCATATAAAAAAATGCCCTATACAGGTCCTTTTACGGAAATACATTAAAGTCGTAAATTTCGTTAAAATAAAAAAAAATCGTAAAATAGTAAAACGTAAATCACTTTCAGTGGATATAATATGCATAAAAATCCCTTACAGACAAGTATTATCGCACATAAAGAACATACCGGAGCTGATACTGCTGGGAAGCGAATCGCCTACGGTGCGCAGACTGCCGATTTTCTCGCTGATGGTGAAGCATCCGCGTGGCACATTCCTCCACCACAACTTCATCTGCGCGGTGCTGAACGACGTGTTCGGTATCCAGTCGAGGGGCGGCCTCACGAGCAACCTCAACTACGGCTCGGATGTACTGGGAATAGACGATCAGCTACTAAAGGAATATGAAAAACTGTTAGACGTAGAAGCGTAAGTATTATCTATAGTTATCCTATCATATCCGTTCGGTCTATTATACATAGAAATACCGCTAAGTAAGGTGTAATAAAATGAAATTTTAATAAACTCGCCGGCCAAAGTCCGTAATGGTTACAGGCAGACAGATCATATCTTTAATCTAGATTTTCATCGCCCCTTAATTTTCTTTACAGTATACTCAAGAAGGATAATTGTTTAGTGTTATCCTCCTTGAGTATACAAGCATGTCTTGTGTGACTTTCAAACTGTAAATTCTTACAAAAGCCTAAATAAAATGGTTTAAACTATTTATTTACAGATAACTGGATAGCTCTTGCACAAGAGTAGTATTAGTAAACGTAAACCAAAGGCAACATTAAACAAAATGCTTAATTCCTATTAACTTTATGAAAACAGTTTATTAACCCAGATATGTAAATGAATTGATATCACATCGCTTTATAACCATGTTCAAAACCAGTTCTATTCAGTTTAATTTCGTATCGTTTCAATATCTTAGGTAATAACTTTGCCACGTCTTATTTGTATCCTATTAAAATTTTATGTGAAATTAAATTAAGTTTTGCTATTATAAATTAACGTTAGCCGCTATTCTATTTCGTAATTAAGTTTTAATGTACTTTTCCGCCTTTACATCAACAGGGACTCAGTCAGAATTTCAGTATTATTATTATACATTAGTATATAGTAAAGAAAAAAAAAAGAAAAATAATTGTAGGTAGACAAGATTTACAGGGACTATATGGTGGAACAAGGTATCTCCAGTTACATACATGAATATTCATAAAAACATCAAATTGGTAGTTACAAAAATGCTCAATTATCTAGAAACACGCTATTACAACGTTTTATGAATGACTAACACGCGACCAATTGTTAGTGGCATTCGAAGGTTGCATCAACGTATGTGCGGGTAATGTTGATGTTTTCGTTCCAGGCAAAGGGAAATCGCCCGAGTACGCAAGCTAAGTGACGCCAAAGCACCTGACGTCCCAATACACAACGAACACCTCAGACCGGGCTTCTTCAGGGTGTCGCTACCTTTCTTCATGTCGGACACCGAACTTGCTTTTGTCTTGGAAGCTCTAAAGATGGTCGCAACAGAAGGCTGGAAGATTCTGCCCCAGTACGTCGTCAACACAGAAACGGGGCAATGGCGACATCATACTTGCTCTGTCCTTCGCGAGAGAAAATCTTTATACTCCTTAAGGTACAACGACGGACAAGTTACATCACACGAAAGAAGAGTCTCTGGTAAGCCATGCTATTTACATAGTCATAATGTTATAAATATTCTTAAATGAAGCCACCTTAATTTAACTGTATATATTATTAATTAAATGTAACTATACGTTTCTGCAGGTCCTGGAATATTCCCACAAACCTACACGGAATGTCTACAAACGGCAAGAAACCTTTTTAACAGAGCAAGAAAGTTGGCAATGAAATGTTCAAGCATAGAGCCTGAAATTGGGTTCAATCCACGCATAGACTATTTAAGATGGTTTATGCTCCCTAAAGAGGCGCACGACTTGCTATTGGGCAGGTCTGCCAACGTAAAGCATATCGTCCCCTTTGATCCATCAGGGTATACCGGAGCAAGAAAAAGCCTAAACTTTTCCAGGTCATCTGTAACTTCGTCACCGATTTTCGGATCCTCCCCCAGACATTTTAGTCTCTCGGCTCTGGACGACTGCCAAATATTCCGATTGAAGCAGAAACAAAAATTCTACTCGCGGGAGTCGAGTTTGAAGGAAACTACCAAGGAGCAAGCTGTCACGGTCGCACATCCAGTGAAGTTTGCATTAGGCGAATCCGTCTCACCCTTGAGGATTGTTCCACAGTCCGCTAAACCCATAATGGGAAGGTCTAGATGCTACAGCTTGGGCTCGGATAGTCCGCCAGTCCAATTAAGCGCGGAAACCAAAATGAACCTCGGCCTGAAGGAAACGAGCCCCAACACCGACGGAAAGGCTAACGGCTTCTGCAATTGCGGCAGTCAAACGGACCTTCAATCCTTAGACGATCCAATGATCTCACCCGGTAAAGCGTTCCCATACAGCACACAAAGCAGCACCTCCATTTCCGATTGTAGTCAGACGGGGCGTGCATCCCCAACCGCCTCTATAACATCGCACACTTCAGAAGACATCCAAGCGTACGTCAAAGAGATGACAAGGGAACTGGCTACCGAGATAAAATCGGAAATCAGGGGAGTGATTTCGAAGGTTGACGACATCCTCGAGAATTCGGATTCCCTCGACCAGTCCAACGTCAGTATAAACTCTGTGTCCAGTCAGAGCGAGAAGAATTCCGTTTCCGTGATAGACGTCGCGGAATATTTGATGGGCATGTCGAGGGAAATGGCCTCGGAGGTGAAACACGAGATCCGTGAAATGGTCAACCAGGTGGACGAGATGATCTCGCCGGACTACACGAGTGCCACGTCAAGGAGGGGCTCGCCACCGCAGAGGGGCAGACGAAGAATAGGCTCCGGCCCTGAGCTGGGTTTGGACTTGCAGAAGTCCACGCAGTGCCTGAGGAAGTGTACAACCAGCCCCGTGCTGCCCTCCCATATAGATACGGAGGAGAATCAATACGAGAGAAAATCTCCGAACACTCCGTCGCCTAGGTCGGCGCACGGTACTCCCTCCCATGAAGCGTCGGGTCTGAACAACATTTCATTCAACTCCAGCGAGACGTCCACCCCCGACACAATTATCCAGGTGATGACCACTGCTCAAGACTCCCCAGTCCTACCCAAATCGTCCAGCTCGAACAAACTGTCGGACGACGAAGCCAGCTGTACAGACGGGACCTGCAGGCATTGCTGCATTAAGAAGACTTGGTGCCAAAATCCTTCCATCAGCTCACAAGATAGCGGTATCAACATGACGTTTACGGAAACCGACTCCTATTTAGACTTTGGTAAGTTATAATATTACTATTGTTATAAATGATTTAAAATATCGACTAGCGAACAAAAGTATTACCATGAAAGTCTGTTATTTTCAAATTATTTTCCATTATATGGGGATATACTTTGGATAAATCAAATCTGATGGTAGATGATTTTTAAATCATTTATAGATTCCACGAGTGGATTTATTTTTTTTAGACATATGACAAATGTTTTTTTTCTTATTTAGAATTAGTTATCCTGCTAGTGCAAATATAATGAAAGCCAATAAGACATTTGTTATTTTTATGACAATCATAGTCAAATAAAGAGAACGAAATTCAGTTCAACTAAACTCGAAGCGTAGTTATGAATTTCAGAGAGAGCTTTGCGAAACTTTCTTGTTTATAGGCTGTTACTTTAACTACTAGTGTTTTCGTTCTAAAAGTATTTCTTGCCTGACCTATTGTATTCATCACAGTTGTCATTAAAGACGACAAATACCCTTGGCGCCATCATACATTATATCTAGTTGATAGCCGCTCATGTCCAGATTTAGCAACGTTTTTATTGCGTACGGTAAATTTTTATTCGCTCGTAAACTTTGTACATATCAACGTCCTACATGGACGCGATTACATTTTCATTACTGTATCAGTTATGACACAAATCGTTATTTTTAAAGCGTATCTTTACTAGTACAGGCGTAAACAAAATTTATTGCCCACTGCTATTATGATATAGTCGAAATTATTTAAGTCACTGAACTTAAAAAAGAAATAAAGCTACGTTGTTACAAAAATTCTGTTTTCTGCTCAAATTTTAATACATATTTGATTATTTTTTATTTTTAGTACTGAGTGCAGATTCAATTGAAACTTAAAACTCACATTTAATTTTCATAATGTTAACTATTTCTTAATTTTCACTATTTTAATGATTTCTTAAAAGTTTTTAATCGAAGTGACAGTAATATACTGGCCTAAATTTATAATACTACGAGCATTAGTATATATGAGAAATACGTAGAACATGCGGAAATAAAATTAAAAGTTCAGCATTCAAACAGAATATAGTAGATACACTTGAAGAAGTTTTTTATATTTCGCAGCATCGTTATATCGTCTGGTTTAAAGCAAAATTTCTATTCATGACTAAGATGTACATATACCATCATAAAAATCGTTTCTCAATAAAAATCGTTTCTCAAATAAATAGAACAAGTTATCATAGTATTGTCCTAGGTCCGAGCGACGAAGCGCACAGAGATCATTCAAAATACCTCTCCATCTCATAATCCCCTACACATTTGGTATTCCCTCCACTCCACACGCTGGTGTTACGTAAACAGTTTTTGGAAACGGTTGCAGTGAAATGGCGCACGTCCTCCGACCCGACCACGAACAAGCTGAAGAAGCTGCAGGGCAGGCTGAGGATGTGCAAGCACGAGAAGAGCGAAGTCCCCGACATCATAGAGGGCGTGCCGGTCTGCTCCGGTGAGCAGGGAACGGACAAGGGGTGCGCAGACGCCGCTGGTGGCAGAGTCGCCTTCCAAATCTCAGACGAGGCCGAGAGGCAGAACATGTAAGTGTTATAATGGTGTTTACTATCAGAAATAACAGATAGTTGCCTAATTACTGTACTATACTGATTGCTTTCGAATTGTGTGTAAATTAGCCAACATCTGTGCAGAAAAGCGAGCAAGCTTGAAATCAATTATAAATGCAATGGTAAACTTTTTTGGTAGCTGTTAAATTTATCAACTTTTTCTTAATATTTATACAGGCTAAAACACTTACTCTCGCGTAGGTAGCCTTCTAAAAAGTATACAAAAAGCTATTTTTAGACTTAAAGTACTTATCACGGAAGGCACCATCCTTGGTCCTCGCTAGTTGGTTAATCCCACAACTAGTAACTGTATGGGTTTTTTGTTTGTACATCTTTTAACTGTAACTGCTTGCTGTGACACTTCTTCGGAGGCTTACGGATTTGCCTTCTGTAATACTGAAGAATTTAAATTATACGTATTATCTAGAAATATTAACATTACTCGTAAAACATTCGAATGAGCTCTGACGCTCTAGCCATCGCAAACGCGAAAATCTTAACGCCTTCTTTCTACATTCTTATTTAGCATTTGAAGCAATGCTTGGCGTATCTATTGTTATATCCTTTCCAGCATATATATATATAGTTAGCTAACTATATATATAAATCCGCACATTTGACAGGTCGTCGCAGTGTAGACGACCTCGAACTAATGGTGTGATGACCTGTGCATATTATCTCAGACATAGATTCGCCGTCAACTGTAACATTAGACTTGGTCACCTAAAAAAAATGCATGAGACATTTAATTTTGTGTCGTAATCACCGTTTGAGTCGAGGGTTTACTGAACGCAACTGTTTTCGACATATTCGGATAAATTCGGATAAATCAAAATATAACAGAGAAGAGAATTAGTAAAGATAAGATCCTGTTCCAATCATTTCGAAACAAGCTACCTTTCTTTTAGTGCGGTAGGGCCACATTGCAGCTACTGGTGCTCGAATGGGCAGACTCGTCCGGAGAAGCCATGGTACATAAAAGACTGGGGTGAACTGCAACACGTCAGGTGTTCTAGATGTTCATGGGCGGTAATTACCTGTGGTATAAACTGACGATCACATATTACTTAATTTCTTAACCATATTGTTACGATTACAACGTAACAACGATCATTAATGTAATTTGTAATATTTTTTATATACGTCATAACCTTAATTATTACCTAAAGAATAGTGACAGACATAAAATAAAGACTAGTAATAAGGAAAAACCTACTACGCCATTGTTTCGTCTACAAAAAGTAAATAAGTCGTTCATGGGGCAAAGTGTGCGCATGTATAATAAAATTCCACAGTCGATATTAAGTCTGCCGCTTGACCAATTTAAACGTAAAATTAGAAGTCAACTTATAGTTAAAGCATGTTATACCATTACGGAATATCTCGACGACGCTAATGTGTGGAAATAATACTGTGGATACTCACGTAGGCTAGAATAAGACTGTTATACCTGTACGTTATATTGTAAACTGACTCTTTTGAAAAAGAGCAACTGTTGAGTTTCTTGCTGGTATCTTCTCAACAGAACTGCTTTCCGAACCGGTGGTACCTTACGAACCTATATACCTAATTTTTGATGTAAAATTTGACGATTCATAAGAGCGCGCAAGCGTCTGTTTGAATAAATATATTTTTGATTGATTGATTAAAAATGATTATGATTTGTGTGAAGGGATGGGGTAGAGGAAGTCTCAACGACCACTGAGACAGAGAAGATTGTAGTAATAATCATGTATAGGATTTATCTCACGTTGGTAATTGTTGATACTTCATCTTACGTTACACCTGTCACGCTGTCATGTACTTTAGAGATTTTTAGTAAATTAGCATACTTAACAAGGGAAATAATCTGGTGCATGTCAATCTGAACTGTTATCGAGATGAGTATTAATATCCTATGCGATAAACTTAATCCAAAACAATTAACCTAAGAAAGAAGTAATAAACTGATTCAATAACTATGTGAAAATTTAATTTTAAAAATCGAGTGTATACATTGGGGACAAAATGATAATTGAAATAGTTGGCAACCTTTAATAGGAATCCACTGGAAATTGTCCGTTAGATTTGGCGCTCATACAAACAAAATGAATATATAAGCAATTTGTCTTCGGGATGCTTTTCGTTATGATGCCTCCACGTTTTCGTTTCGAAAAATGTTACGAAATATTTACTCTTATGGCTGAAAATAAACTCTGATTTATAATATTTTGTTTGAATTTCTCTTGCGTATTTGGGTGTATGAATTTATTTTTACCTATAAATTACTTTTATATAATCCATAGCTGAGTTTTTGGATATGATGTAAATACAAGATATGAGCGATAATTTTACGAATGATCTCAAATGGTAGCCTAAATTGTTACTTTCCTACCTAATTTAATTATATATATAGTCTTATTACAAAAAATGGTGATTTATGTAAAATTACTTAAAAGAGACAGGGATTTTTCCTCTCAGAAGGTAGCATTGTTTTATTTTTTATTTAATTAATTATTGTACTTTTCAACTGATGTGAAATGATAACTGCCATGGGCATTTGCCATATCTCTTACATCAGGCGATCCGCCAGTTCGCAAACTTCTCACATAAAAGAACTGAGTACTGAGGTACTAAAAATAAAGGAAAACTCTTTCTCTTTTTTGAGGTCGGTCGAAAACCATTAAGTTCGTTCTTCTTTGTTGACAAATTGGGATATGGAATTAAACATAATATTATCATTTGGCGTTTTCTTATCGACAAATATGATCAAAACGACATCTCAGAAGACGAAAACTTTTTACTTACGTAACAGAGATATTTCGCAGAGAAGAAAGCCGTTAGTAATAACACGATAATTATATTTATCTTTATTACATGCAAGAATAAACTTATTTACGATCGAGAAAGAAACTGTTATAACTTGTTTTCCTTATGTTTGTTACTATGGCAACCACATTTATAAATGGTTATTGGTGTTAATTAAATGCCTCAATTTACGAGTGTCATACCTCGTATTTGTATATGATATCATTGGTTAGCGTTATTTACGAATCGGGCATGTACCTACTACCAACGGCAGGCTCGCAGTAGTTTCTGAATGAGGACATATCATTCCAGAACTACAGCGGCGACGGACTGGAAACGTTCCAGCAGGTCGTCGAACGCATCTTCCAGCTGCTCTGACCGCAGTTCCAGGTCAAGTGGCTACGGCACAGACGTGAACAGAGCCTCGCAAGAGGAAACCTTCTGCGATAGGAGGTGAGGCGTTTAACCCGCCAAACAACCAACGACGCAAAGAACATAGGATTGCCATTTACCCAGTTATTGTTTGATTCTATACCATGAAACATGGAACATTTTGTCTCATGCAGGGTTGATGCTATGGCAAACTTAGCCTATATTGATGTCTAGTCTGGTTGAAGGGCTCTATATCCAAGGTCATGTATCAAATTTAAAATTAAAATGTTTTCCAGTCGAAAAGATATCTTTATGGGATAGTTTAGATTTTATTTTACTGATTCCAGATTAGCAGTTGAATGTAACTGTTTCATTCTTGTGTTGAATTCCGTCACTATTTAAAAAAAACTGTCAATGTTTTATTTCCGCGCTTTTTGAAGTTTCTATTTTCTATGGAAAGGGGATGGAATTCATTATTAACTTACCGTGTTATCGTCAACTTTTGGAATTACTACTTGGATTTATTTCCCTACATTCTTTCCAGATTCGTGAAAATGTCATTATGAATTGTGGTAGGGCCACGCAACAATTTGCACTGTTGCAATGGGCAGGTCTGTCCGGGTGAGTACCACGACCTCACAGAAGACCGGTGTAAAGTAGAAGTGTACACTTCTGCGTTTCGTCTGGTGAGTCAGGTAGCCGGGGCCCACTTTATTTAAATTTGGCAACGCATTTGCATCCCTACGGGTGTTGCAATTGTCCATGGGCGGCGGTTATTACTTAACATCAGGTGAAACGCCAGCTCGTTTGCCACTTTTTCACATAAAAAAATAATAATTAGGAAAATATTTTACCGGCGACAACTAGAAGAATTTTAGAATCCAATTGAAAGAGAATATGCTTAAATTTCGATTAAATTTAATTGTAATATCATCTACTATAGTGACATACTAAACTGATTTCTTTCTTGAATATAAATATGCTACAATAATTGATATTGGTTGGCTTAGCAGCAATTGTAATGATGACGAAATTTCAACATGAAGTGCTTCAGAATATATTCAGTAGCATGTTACGTTGAAAGGTATTTATTAAAGGTTACGCGCTCTAGATATAACTTGATAGTAAAATTTTTGAAACCAATTTCATCCAAATCTAGTTTATGACACGCGAGAAAAGACTGTGAGACTTTTTTTTTTTCATTCTCCCACCATTAGGGGCGTGGAATGTGGCTGTATGAAACGTTACTTATTTGTTATAAAATATGACAATACAACGAATGTAGTCGTACCACATATGACAACACAGTGATTGTTTATATTCAAGGCATAATAAGATTGGTACTGGAGTAAATTCTCTTATATAACTACATTTACATCATTATCATCACTTCCATCAACAAAAAGTCTTCTGTTGTCCTAACTTACTATACGATAGTAAGTTAGGACAACGGAAGACTTCGGAGCCAAGAAACGGAGCCTTCTGCTCTCACTGACCATTACAGAGTACATTACTCAGATGAAAAATAGCCTATACTACGTAAAATATTACTATACCTAATGCTTTTGATGTATTTAGGTGAATAAAATATTTTAACGATAGATAGACGCTATTAGTTTTACGAATCTTCCCCCACTTGCAAATTTGAAAATCTATGTTCCTTGTCACCAGTGAACCAGAGTGCCGGCACTCTAAAGCGGAATGCTACTGGGAAGATACAGAGCGAGACGACAGCAGTGCGTGCAGCGATGCCTCCCTCACTGACTTCACCATGGACGACGAGGGCAAGTGGCACTGCCCTCCTAAACACATCTGGAAGGCTACTGTTGAGGTAAAGACTGCTTCTTAGAAACGAGTGAGTTCTCTGTCGTTTTAGAATTACTATCCATATGATATACAAGGATAGATATTTGGAACCAGTAAATGTTTACGAATGGGCAGAATCGTTCGGAGTGGCGAAGGTCTCGAAGAATACCAGAGGGAAGTTTTCAATCAAACTGCGTTTCTCCTAGTTAGGGAGGCAGCGTGAGATAAGCTTTCACATTCATCTGTGCATCTAGTACCCTAACCTGTTTCTCATTGCACCTTCGGCAGGCTATACAGGAGTTCAGGATGGTGCGGCCGGGAGACAAGGTGCTGGTGTGTCTATCGGGTGGACGAGCGTCGTTGGCGCTGCTGCATACAATGCACCAGTACCAGTTCTACGCGAGAGCGAAAGGGATACACTTCAGCATCGGTTAGTAGCGTCTTTTTTATATAAAGGACTGTCTAATCCTTGACTTCTAATCGATAAGTACCAATGTGGACGCAGATGTAAGCACTATTATAGTAAGCTCTAGTATATAGACTATTCACTCTGGCCTTGAAGACATCCACGTTATACTGACGGAAAGAGAGGCGCTGACAAATTATTCTTTTGCTCTACGCATAATTAATGACATACTTAGTTCGAGTGCGTGGAATGTCAACTCGTGTAATTCCGATGTACCCTGCAATCTCCTTGTTGTCGAAGACCGCTTTATTAGATTGGACTTTTTTCAACTCCTTCCTGGTTAGGAAGTTATATTCCTCTGATGTTATATTTAACTGTGGTAGGGCCACGAACCAGTTTTCGCTGTTGCACGAATGGGCAGGTACGTTTGGGTTACCACGACCTCACAGAAGACCGGCGTAAAGTAGAAGTGTTACACTTCTGGATTTCGTCTGGTGAGTGAGGTAGCCGGGGCCCACTTTATTTAAAGGTGGCAATGCATTTCATCCCCATAAAGGATGTTGCAAATGTCCATGGGCGGCGGTTATTATTTAACAACAAAAAAAAAATAATTTGTCCTTAAATGTGGATCTTCGTAAAATAACCGTAAGAGATTGACCTGAAATTTTTCCAACTTGCTGCCAACTATTTGAATCTTCTTGCTAAATACTCCCTGGATTTGGATTTAGCATTTGATTTTTATAAAAAGCATTTTATTTTGTTTTTCAAACCTGATGACACATTTTTTTCCAGCATTGTGTTTATTATTTCAGGTGCTCTGTTCGTCCACGAGCCACAGTCTGAGGTCGATCCTCTCCACTTGATGGCGTACTGCCGAACTCTAGGCGTTAAGTTCATCTATCAAGATAAACTAGAAGATGACGAGACATTAAGTGAGTGTCAATTTAGCCTATGGCTTGATTAATTGATTTTTCGAATAAATTTTTTGAGTTAGAATTAAATTGAGAATGAAGTTGACGAAATTGTTGCGTAAGCTAAAAGTGGTATGCTTCCTTCACTTGACTCTTAGTGACGCTCACTTTCTCTCTCTCCCTCTCTTTTTCTGTTACTTTCCCTCACGTTCTGGTAATCGAGCAACATACTGAGAGCAATTATTTTAATTTTGTTTCGTTTAACTTAGGTTGTTAATATAATATGTTATTTCATTAAATTAATACTTTTTCCTTGATATAAAATTAATCTTTTGATTTGATTCCATATCTCGCATTATTTAAATTTAGAAGACGGAAGAAAATAAATAATGCAGATTTTAATTCTTATTAAACTCAAGTTAAGAGTAATCCCCTGACAGTAATCCGCCGGAACCCCTGACCGCATAAGTTTTATTTTTCTTGGCTTCACTAACATTCTACCGAGCCACCCTAGTCTTCAGCTTGAGCTTCGAATCTTCTAGAAGGTGGCAGCAGTAAATCGACAGAGCTGCATCGCTGGGCGTCACATGCGCTACGAAGGCGCGCTTACGTGGCTGCAGCTGCCCACGGCTACGGCGTAGCAGCCATCGCCCAATGCCTGGACCACGCCGCCACTTCCTTTTTGGCAGCCGCCCTATACGGATCCGCGCTACGCACGGTCAAGGCGCATTACAGAGTACGGTAAGTGTCATTCGAGTTCGTAACCACGCATCTGAAATCGTACGGGTGTTGCAAATGTCCATGGACGGCGGTTATCACTTAACAACAGGTGAGCCGCCAGCTCGTTTGTCATCTTCTTACATATGTCGAAAGTAGACTCGGAATTCTTTCGTGCAGGTATTGACAACGAGTCGTGTCTTACAGCGATCAGCAACTCACACTTGTCATTAGCGATCTGTTCGCCTGCCCGTCTTCCACTTTTTCCCCATAAAAGAATTAAGTCGAAAGGAGACTTGGAAATCTTGCCAACAAGCCGTGTCTAGCACCTACCAGCAACTCACGTTAGTCGGTGGCGATCCACTTAACAGCGGACAGCCTCCCCCATTTTCCCATAGCAGAACGAAGTCGAATGGAGACTTGGAAACGTTGCCAACTGAACACAAGTCGTGTTTGCAGCGACCAGGAGCTGCGCATCATCAGGCCGTTCATCTACGTGCGCGCGCGCGCCCTCGAAGCGTTCGGCTGCTCGCGCGGACTGCCGGACTTCGCGAGCCAAGAGCCCCACAAGTGCGGCCATTCGCCGCCCCACAGCCCGGAAACCGTCACCACATCGGACTGCGGGTAGGAATCAGAGATTTTAATTCTTATTTTTTTAGTTATTTTAATAGGACGTCACCACACCGGTCGGGTACGCACGTAAGAAATTAAGTAAGTATAATTTCGTAACAAAAGAAAAATAACTAAAATATATTCTGTGCCATAAAAATAACTAAAATAGTTTCCTCTTTGTTAGTGAAAACGACATTAAATGGAACTAATAATGGTTACAACTTTGATAAATGTCAAAAAGTTGTTAATGCTTGCCAGGGTAACGTGGGAATCATTAACAACATGGCCAACTTCTACCATTCATCATGTCATTTCTTCGGGGTCGGTGTATTCTCATAATTTTTTCCAAACGCGCAAATAGACATATAACTTGAATAAACACATAAAATATGCATTTCTTTTTGTAACTGCGTATTCAAACCTGCGTCTTCCAGTGATACACCTAATTCGCCACAACTTCCAAGAATAACAAAATATTGTATAGTATAAGATTTAATTCACTGCAGCGAATTTTAAAACTAATTCTGTTTCATGTTCTTTATGCTTGTTGTAGCAAACCGCTCGACGAGCGTCCGTCCGCCGGGGAATCGGCGATTGAGACTTTAGAGGCTGCCCGTCAATTGCTCACCAGCCAAGAGCGCGCCCATCCGTACCTGTTCGCCAGCCTGAAGGCCGCTATGCACCCACTGATCAGCGGCAGGTATGTTGGTCATCCATACTAATATTATAAATGCGAAAGTAGTTCTATCTGTCTGTCTCGCTTTCGCGCCAAAACTACTGAACCGATTTAAATGAAATTTGGTACACAGATAGTCTAGAGCCAGAGAAAGGACATAGACTATTTTTAATTGGAAAAAGTGTTGTGAAGGGTTGAAAATATCTTTCTTTAAAAATATATTTATTTTAGAGTTTCAACGCGAGCGAAGCCGCGGGCGAAAAGCTGGTATTATATATGTCATTTATATACATTTTAGGCGACAATAGATCTTTAAATTCTAATAGTGCTTATCTGTCCACTTAAGATGAAAAATTTAAATTTGTAGAAAAAAGGACGAAAATTCTACCGTCACTATCTTCAAACTTACGTACAACGAGAAGAGACTCGCGAATAACTAATACCGTAATATTAATTTCATCTAAGAGTAGCCTCTTTTCAACAATTGGGGTAATGAAAATAAAATAAACTTAATGATGTTGATATTTTCACTTATATCAATAGATAAATTAAGGATCTATGTTGATGTATAACAATAATATATTATAGTACAACCTAAGTCGCTTCTTTCTTTTAAACACTTAGTAAAAGCTCATTACTTGGAACTCATGATTTCCTTTTTCCTTTTCCTATTTTTCTCGAAATCTTTGACTACTTCATTGATGTATAAAATGCCTTAATCTGTTTATAAGTGATTCACGGACCTCCCTCCGCTCTCTTCTTTGTCTCTTTAACAAAAATTCTTTTCGCAATGGTTGTCTGTAAAAAATCGCTTTTTAAGCGATAGGACCGCCTATTGTACTTCCTTTCACATTCATTTATAAGTGTCTAGTTATTTTGATGTACAATAAATGAATATATAAATAAATATATATATTGTTATTTTACCTTCAGGAATCTAGACAGAGACGTGAACGAACGCAGACACAGGAAGAAGTCGGTGATACAGATGAGAAATGGCGCCCCCGTATACGATTCCGACGAGGGCACCGAGGAGGAGCCAGTGCCATAGACAACTGTCAAATCTCCCGCCAAAACGTCCGCACTTTCTTTTTTTCCTCAGCGGGGGTGTTGTGATTTACCAGTGATTGTGTCCTTGTGATCGATGTAAGTGTAATCGTATTAATGAATTACACGACACATCGAATGTGAGCCGTATTAATGAATTACACGCACTGTGTTTTTATTATTGAGTGTTTCTATGCTATTTACGCGGTGTGAGCGGTTTTAAGGTTAACTTTGAGTTGCCATATTCGTTTGTAGTGATTTTGGCGGTGTTATCGTACGGATATGTATTAAAATGATGTGCATTTGTTCAGTCTGGTATTTTTTGACGTTTCACGTGTATTGATTGTTAATGGAAATTATATTTTTTTAATGTTGTACGCCTGTTGATGTTTGAGAGTTCGTATATTCAGCCTATTTATTGTGTCCAATCGTTCTTATTCAATGAAATATATTATATTAAAAAGTTTATCGTGAATAAATTTTTATGTGTCTGACAATCATATATTGTTGGGTACTTCTATTATATTTTGATAAATGTTGAACTTAATCTCTATGGAGATAATCTATAAACGTACGAAAATAAAATCTTACTATTGTATATTGTAGGTATATATTAAGTCAATATTATATATGTAGTTATTATTTTTATAATTTTAATGTTATGCCTTTTCGCCAGATTTGAATTTTAAATTGGCTGCATTTCTATTCGATTTGCAATGAGACAAATAGAGTAAAGTAGACATTTTAAAATTTAAATCTAAGCCGAATATAATTGCTTGTTTCTTGTATTATTTGCAACACGAAACGGGTGATTTAGTTGTACGGTAACATTAACATACATATTCTATTCTGTTAAGTTTTTATCTTCGCATAGAATATGCATGTCAATGTTGGACTGATTTCCTCAAAGCTACATTTTATTGTGTTAGTTGTTAATGTCGGCTTAATTGAAGTGATTTGTTTTTATTTCATCGTATAAAGAATTTTATCGTAATGTCGTTGTTTAATTTTCGTTGGTTAAGTTTTATAATATTTTTTATGTTATAAGATAAAATTAAGGCAAAAACTAATATTCCTATATTTATAGGTAACAGTCCCATTTTTCGCTTCCATAGATAATATAACCTTTTACCAACTAAATATCGCATGAATAAATTTTCTTTTCTATATTGTCTTTTCTTTCATTATACCCTAAGCGAATTTTTAGCATATTAATTATAGTGGAACGTGTGAGATATTATAATGTCGCTAATATTATGATTATCATTTGAGATTTGCATATCATTTGTACTATTTCCATTTTTATATTTAATTACAAGAAATATCTTTTAATATGTCCACCTACCTCAACTTACCTTTTTTTAGTTACCACCCTAAGGTTGACTGAAGTAAAATGTAAGTGTTATACTTCTGCGTTTCGTGAGTGAGGTTACTGGTTACTGGTACCCGCTTATTGAAAGCTGGCAACGCCTGTATCCCTATAACCTAGGAAGTCGGGTTAGTATGACTGAAACTTTCAAAACCGGTAAGCCATAAGTGAAAAAAGCGGTCCCTTGAAGTCAGCTTAGCCAGGTTCAACTGTGTTTAGATTCATTAAAGTTTGTAACGGCATTCTAATGTAGCGAAACTCAAAGTTTTAACTGATGACTCAATGATGGGTCATTAGCCTTTAAAGAAATGTTTGAAAAGATTTCTTGGTGAATCGTCTCTGATTTGAGACTATTTTTTCTAATAACTTGTTTTGTAAATCGTATCACTGTTCTACAATACTGTACTTGCTCAAAATATTTAAGTAATTATATGAGAAAACAGTTATTGGCTTTATTGTAGTAACATTTTATCTTCGTAATGTAATTTTTCAATATAAGCTGTTGATTTCGTAAGTAAAAAAGAGAAAAGAGTGCTGGGCAAGGGCATCCTCTGTACATACGATCCCATTGCTTATTGGTGGACTTTACATAATTATTATCTTCGAAACTTTTTTATTTCGAAAATATGCAGGTTTCCTCACGAGACTTTCCATCGCTGCTGAACACGTGATATATCAGCACTTTTCCTTCTCTTTCATAATCTTATTCATATCTCATATTTTATTTCTTCCAATTTTATGATAGTGACGTTTGTTTTTGCATATGTTGATTGGGATAATTCAACTTTATGCTTAAGGAGTATGTCTGGTTTACCTTTAATCTTTTAAAATACTATTGTTTTAAGTTCTTCTCTACCATACAGACGAAACATAGCACCGGACTTCAAAAACTTTTTACCATATAATGCATATCCCTATTTCTGTTCCTTTTTAGGTCACGGTATGAATATTTCAAAACATATTCATACAAAATTTTATCTAGTTCCAAACTAAGCAAAGCAAGTACCATGGATGATAGATAACTGATAAACATACTCAAACATACTCTTCTTTTGTTACATCAATATGTATATTTACATTGTAAACACCCAGACACTTTATTTTCCAGTGGCGAGAATCGAACCCGCACTCTCTGGTGCAAATACAGTTCCACTATGCCAAACGAGACGTTTATAGGTTTCTACCTTTTTTTTTTGTTCTAACTTAAACTGTTAATGTTCTAACTGGAAATACCTTTTTAAATTCAATAGTAAAGGTATTAAATAGGCCGTTAAATTGTCATTGACTTTTGTTTTGTATGGACTTGATATTATCGAGATATTTCCCTTCAATCCATTTCTACTTTTACAGCAATTTTGATCTGATCGAAATTTCCTTATCAACCAAAGTTATGACAAAATAATTATTGTCTTTTACAATAATGTGTAAATAAAGATGACGCAGTATAGGCAATTAGGCTTTACATTATATGACATATAGTATAAGTGAATGTGACAGGTAATATAGTGTCGTGATTTCTATTATGAATGCAACTTTTGGATGTCTTTAATTTTAAGATACTCTCTAATAGCATGCGCCATTAATAGTATGGCAATTGACTAAGCCTTATATATTTTATAGTACCCGGAGGACCGGTTTGTTTTTTTTTTGGTAAATCGTGTACTTTGGAAATTACATTTAGATACAAATTACTGAGTAATGAAATATGCATAATATTTTTCGATCTTACCGACATAATAAGAAAATATGAACTGATGTTTTTCACAACAGAAAGAACTTTAAAAAAAAAGGGAAGAAAATAACACAATAACAAATCGACAAAAAATTTAAAATAAAGAAAGCTCGTGACGCGAACCACGGCCGTCTGTTTTGGGGCCGCCCGATTACCGACCGAGCTATTTTGAGATTTTCTCTTGCGGCGAAATTTACCGTCATATTCAAATTATATTTTTCATTCCCTGAAAACATGGATAAAAGGACATTTTCTAAAAATGAAACCTAGCTAGATCAATTTTTCGCCCCCGAATCTATGCACATACTAAATTTCATGAAAATCGCTGGAGTCGTTTCCGAGATTCCAATTATATATATATATATATCTATATATATATATATATACAAGAATTGCTCGTTTAAAGGATAAGATTAAACAAGTATCGAAGGTGGGGGCGCTAGTGTTGTTCATTTTTGGCGGGAGATTTGACAGACATACCGAAGTCGATGAAGACGAAGGCTGATTTTTGTGATTAACGTTGTACTGATAAATTATTAATAATATTATTAAAAATTATTTGTATAGTTTGTAAAGATAACAGTTTAGTGTGTTTTTAATACAAGTGTTAATAAGTAAAAACCAAGTTTCATTGGAATTACTAGACCCCTCTTTGATATACCACGAACACAGGATTTTGGATGCAACAAGCGTAGAGAAGTATACAGCGTGTCGTTACCATCGCGACAATAAATGAACACACATATAGGGGATAACTTTTTAAAATTGTATTAAACATTTAAATTCGTTAAACATAAATATTTACAGAGTTATTAAATTTTCCAAAACAAAGAATTTTAGAACACCCTCACCTATAAAAGCGTAACGTAAAGTTCATTTGTAAAGGTCACAAAGCATATGAATGGGTTGAATGAATTTAAAAGAGACGAAACATACACCCAGTTTCCGAAAGCGCAATCAATTTTAATTTACGATAAATCTCTTGTCAATCGTTGTTTAACATGATCTGAGTTGCTAGAACGTTTTAAACAACATTGATTTTGATTTGCAATTAGTCACTGATTAACGGACAATCAACAGAAAATCGAGTTTCTGAAAGCGTTTTTCGGTGGTCAACGAGCTGTAAAAAGTTTTATTAAGTAATCTGTCAATTTGGACAATCAATCGTTTGTTAAAAATGTTATTTATCAAAAATCTTAGTTTTTATTAAAAATAAACATAATTCCCTAATACTTTGTTAGGACATTCATGTGTTCTATTACCTATTAATTATTTATTATTATGCGAACATATCTTGTGATTAGAAAAAATACAAAATGCAATTCAAAAGTTAATAAATAATATGGATTCTTTCTTTTTATAATACTTACTTGTTTATTATGGATAAAAGTTCATTTTTTTCACGTTCTGTAAAGTTTTTTTTTTTTGACATTTTGCATGTATTTATATAAATTAAATTTTATTATAGCTCGGATTTTTACGTTGTCAATCACACGGTGACAGGACTGGATAGTGACGTTAATTTAAGTTTTGTTTAAAAAGGGACAGCTATACAATATAAAGAGTTGGTTGAAGTACATCATTCAATTCGTTTATTATCATTGGTTATACAGTGATTAGCTAATTTTTCTTGAACAAACGTTCCAGAAACCCAAGGCAGTTTAACAAGAGATTAACGGCTGATCATTTTTGACATAGTGTTATGTGATTGCTGCTTTGATTGGCCTTTCGGAAACTGGGCAATAGTGTTAGAAGGAGAGGCTTGTAATACGACGCTGTGGCGCAAGTTGTATAGGATGTTACAAATTTTGTTTCTTTTTTACTTAATTAGTTTGTTTGAAAAATATTTTTTTTAAATTATGGATTTTGTGTAACGTTAATATTTTTTTATGATTATTGGCACGTAGCATTAGACGTGTGTTCATTTATTGTCGCGATGGTAACGACACGCTGTATAATTGTTGCAATAGAATGTATGATACGGAAAGAGACAGCGGTCAATATAAATAAAACCAATTGGCGTAATTAGAGTGCCTCAGTTTCGATGTTCTAGTGTTATACTTATATACCTCGTATTTGTATATTAATTATTAATTGCATAAATGTTACACCGTCATTGTTCAGCTCGTCTCTCGTCTATAGGCAAGTTGGTCAATTATTTATTTTGAATTGGTTGGGCAATTTATTTGCCGCAAAATTAAATTTTAAGGGGAAAAAATTGGATGCGGAAAAATTCATTGGTTAGCGTCACAGACAAGCTAATGTCGTGTGTTTTATCATTGGCATTAATGAAATTTAATTTTTGATGTCATTCGGCTTTCTATTATATACAATATATAAAATTCTAAAATATTGTAACTTCTAATATATAGGTTCAATTTCCGCAATAAGTTAAAGTATTTTTTTCTCAAACTTTTTTATTCCTGTTATTCAAAGTAATTTAAACCGATAAATATTATGTAAAATTTATCGTTTTAAATTTTCAGAAATAAAATTTGTTTTTAATGTCTAGCCCCTACAAGAAATTCAATGCAAGAGTGTAGTATTTATTTTAAGTTAAAAGCTAGCAAACAAGCAGGCGGTACACCTGATGTTAAGTGATTACCGCCGCCTATGGACATCTACAGCACAGAAAGGGTTGTAGATGCGTTGCTAACATTAAAAAATTGTGGGCCATCGTAACTGTCTCAACTTTGTTTGAAGTACAATTGAATTTTATAGTAGGTACTTTGGCTTATTTCACTTACGTCTTCTCCAACGCGAACTGTCTAGTACTTGGCCGCTATCCCACTTGATGGTAAGTGGCTACATAACGGCAATTGGTTAGGGCGCTAACTCGGTAATAGCCAATTCACTAGTGCCTCGGGGCTCGTACAATCGTGAGTCACGGACGACTTAGCCAACTCTACTTATTACGTCGTTCATTCAATCATCTCGAGAAGGAGTCGATTACAATATCCTGTCACATCTTAAATAATACAACAATATTCAAAGGGCAACCGTTGAAACGTGGTTTTATTTATTTTGTTTTTAGTCTCGATGCAAAACTGTTGCCTTGTTTTTGAAGATCAATTTTCCTCAACCTAAACAAATCTCATAAATCTTCGTATAGCAAATATGGAGATTTATAAGAATATAATATAGCCTATAGCTCTGCTGTTATTTCTGGTAATAAGTACCAACTCGAATTTTAATTTTATACATTTGACGCCAGACGTCGATAATTCAATAGTAGGTACATAATAAGTAGGTAGATTGTTACCGAGATGTTGGTAACCCCCAGTGCGTTACCAGCTATTAAAAAGGGCCTTGCTTACCACATTCTTTAGATGTAAAGCAAAAACATAATACTCTCATTTCACGATGGTCTTTTGTGACGCAGTGGTACTTACCCAGACCAACGTGCCCATTTGTGTTACAGAAGCTGCCGCGGATCCAATCCATACAATCAAATTTCAAGTTGAAGACCAATTCTATCATATTAAAATTTAGTTGTATTATATAAATCAATATTCACTTGTTTTAATAATTTAATGCTCAATACTAATAATATACATAACCAAAATAATAAATAATTTACATAAACAAGTAGACATAATTTAAAAAACTAAAAAACCCCGATCGCGTTTCTCTGTAACTTGGAAATGATTTTGATATACCCAGTGTCACTCTCACAGTAAATACGAATCTAACGACACCTCTCAGGCTAAAATCCATCAAACCGTTCTGGCTGCAGAGCGTGCGAAACAATTATACATACATACATACTCTCAAAAAACATTGCCCTCCTTCTGGCGCAATCAGGTCGCAAAATTGTCTCCATTACTACTTACTGCTATTTCAAGTTGAGAATGGTAAAATTTGCACAGTATCTTAAAAGTGACAGCTAATGAACATTCCAGAGGGCATTTTATAAAATCATAGAATAGGTAATGTAATATACCATCTCAGCATTTAGTGCAAAAATAATTTTAAATGGATTTAATTTATCACGCCTAGTAATACTGTCTTAAATTAATGGCTGCTGGGAAAGAGGAAAAAATCATAAACAATCTATTTTAATTATTATTACATTTTATTTGCAATTTTCACTCTCGCTACGTCCTTATATATTAATACAGCTTTAGTTTCCAAAAATTAAACGAATAAAATGCATATATATATCTTCCTACGTTTATTTATTTCATAATGCTACACTACACAAATAATCATGCGTGTGTGCGTGCTCACATACATTTACGCTTATGCTAATGAGTATTGTATGTACTACCAAACTTTACTTTTACATGAGATTACATTATCGAACTGGTATACTTTAAGATATTTAGAGAATAAAGATCACCTTACAATTACCGCCGCTAAGTAAATACAATATACGTCTTATCGAATTTAACAAAAATTACATATTGTTCCGTAAGCCTAATTAACATCCACATTTATTTCATGACACAACATTGCTACAATCATCGTAATATATAGAACTTTTTCTCAATAAATATCAACCTAACGCTACATCCTTAAATTATGAGTTGAATATAATATTACGAGTAAAGAATAATAATAGTTTAAAATCTATACTTTTAAAATATGAAGATCTTCATATTCCTCTAATATTAGGTATATTGATTAAAATATGCAGTAAATACGTTGACGTTGAAGAATTATGCCGTAGTTAGGTTACTATGATGATATTATAATAATTATTATATAGTTTGCTTAATTTTATTCATTTTTTTTGCCTCCCTGGCAGCAGGGCTTGCCTCCTGCAAAAGAACAATATTTAAATAAGACAATGGATATTATAAAATTCGCAATCAGTGCATTCGTTGACTATGTGTAATGATGCAATTGTACATGGGAAATTTTTCAATAGGAGAGAGTTGAATGGTAGAATGGCCTAGAAGTTACCAGAAGGCTTGCCATCCCCACACGTGCAGCTTGGGCCGCAAGTGCAGCCCGCGCCACAGGCCGCAGTGCCACCGCCGCACGTCCCTATTAATTAAAAAAAAAAAACAATTAAAAATACATCTTAAGTCATATATAGTATTACGATCTCCGAATTTTCACTGTAATTACATCCAATTAGAAATTTTATCGTTCATTATAATTAAAAAAACAATCACTTAAGAGGATCTCTATCGCAAAAATGTTTTAATATCGATACACAAACATATTTCAATCACTTTAAAACGAATGTAAATTGACAGCGGGCTAATATTTTGACGCGCAAAAAAAATTGCGTCACACGCCACGCGATTCAGCCGGCAAAATAAAAACAAAACAATTCTCCATTCTCTTTTTAAATTAAAACAAATTTGGAACGATACAATGTTTCAATAGGTTTAATGGGTGATAAAATTAATTACCTTTGCACGAGTCGCAGGGCGCAGGCATGGTGCGGCGGGGCCTAGGCGAGGCTAAGTCTAGAAGTAGACGGAGGCGCGAGGTCTGTTCGCGCGCAGGCGCGTTGCCTTCGTCTAGAAGCGGCCGCGGGTCAATAACTGAGCGGGGGAATCGGCAGGCCTCCGACGCTCGTATAGGCCAAGAGCTGTATCGATTTTCGCCGTAGCCCACTGAGATCACGGCGTGAGAGAGACGGACGATGCGCGGTCCATCATCTCTGTCTGCGCGAATTTAAATTGGATCGATGTGACAAGGTTAGACGGGACGCGGATGCTGGCTTCAAATGCGCACATGCGTGTCTGGATTGCGTCTTCAAATTTGACTGATAGGGCTGAGATGGAATGATTTTACCATAGTGAACCAAAAGAACCATATTGAAAAATCTCCAAAGTCTTTTTACAAATAGAATATCACATATGCGAATATTAACGCGCAGCTCAAATTGTACACTCGAGACTCGCACCTCAAAAGTTATGTAGTCAAATCAGTAAGTGAAGTCATTCTCGAATCATGAATTCAGAAAATCTTTGAAAAAATGATCTGAAATTCCATAAAAACTGGAAACTACACGAATCCGGAGATAAGAATTACTCAGATCGACGAAAAGAGGTTAATGGAAATCAAGGAAAGATAGTAATTCATTGCAGGCATGTCAGAGATATTAACCTACGCCAAATTTTATTTGTTTACTTAATTTTTTTTAAAGACATAAGTCACAAAAACATACGTCGTAAATGGTTAATAATAGAGTTTAGTTTTCAAAATAGTATAACTATACGACATGTAGTTTGATGAATAATATTGTTCAGTATTATTCAGATTACCGAAATAATGAATAGGAAATTACACATTTATACAGAGGCTAAGCCACTCGGCAGCTTCTATGATGCAGCATTGGGAGCGCTCGACTTGGGAAGTACCACCACCTCATAGGCAACTCACGTAAAGCGAATGAATTTGCACTACTGTATTTCGTCAGTCCAATCTCTTGTTGGGAAGTCTTCTGCAATCCCACAAGTGTGCAAGTGTGGTAAATCTACATGGGTGGTGGCACTGATAAATTAGGTGTACCGCCTTCTGTTCATTAATCCAAAAGCTAAGTATGCTGAAAAGCTAGAGTGGACCTTTAGTTTTTTTTATGTGAAAAGTTGCCAAGCGAGCAGGTGGTTCACCTGATGTTAAGTGAATACCGCCGCCCATGGCCATCTGCTACACCCGAGGTTTGCAGATGCGTTGACAACCTTTTAAAAATTGGGCTCCGGCTACCGCAATCACCAGACGAAACGCGAAAGTATTATAATTCCACTTGACGCCGGTCTTCTGTGAGGTCGTGGTACTTACGCGGACGAGCCTGCCCATTCGTGCAACAGCCGAAACTGCTACGTGGCCCTACCACCGTAAAGTGAGTTAGTAACACAAAGTGGCTGTTTAAAATCTCTACCTTTCCTCTGATCATACACTTGTTCATTTTTAATCACTGTTAATGATTTTAGCGGTTTTAGTGTTAAAACATAGATTCTTTAAAATTCAATTCTATTTTTGCAATTTTATATAAAATGTACTAAAACATAGCTACATTCAAAACAGAATTTTATTTTTGTCATATCATATAAAATTTTCACCTTATAAGTTGTAACAACTAAAAATTTTACAGCTCTTACAACTTTTGAGATAACTAAGAAACTTATAGCATTCGGTTCGGTTCGTAGCCGCAATAAAATGATCGGGCAGCCATAAACAAAAACGGCCGAGGTCCGAGGAACCGGTTCTTTCCCCGGCCAAGCCTCTCGATCCGATCGAGCGCTGTCAACCGAAGTGGGAACACATATAAATGATAACAAACAAATCGAAATTTTAACTTCAATGCTATAAAAAAAAATCTGTAGTTTTAATTGTGATGTTCGATTATTTAGATTTTTTTATCTTCTTAACTTTTATTTTGCCTTTTTAATACTTTACCTAAAATTTAAATAATAAAATATAAATTATTTAATTAATAAAATAATCTGTATATGAATAAAAATAAAAAAGTATATAAAAATAAATAATATATCAATTATATCTACTCTCATTGCTAATGTACGGCGTTGTTTGAGGCTTTTTATTTTAAATCTTGATTTTGGTAAATATCACTATAATGGTATAATAAAAATAAAGGTTAATGTCTCCTTTATTTGTTGTATGCTATATTAATATGTCAGTGGTTTTCTTATTTAACAAATAAAATAATTTTTAATAAAGAAAATGACCGGTAAAATAAAATTTTACCGGTCATTTTCTCGACAGATTGTCTTGTTGATTAAATTTTTTACAAGAATCTTTTTACTGACAGGAAAGTAAACGGATCTTGACATATCTGTCTATCCTAAACCCTAATGGTCCGTTGAAGTCACGAAATTCGTAAAGACGGAATGCAAAACAGTCATTCGAAGGATAAGGAGGAATATTACCTGTATTACGATTTGATTTAAATTTGCTTCCCTTTTTAACCGACTTCAAGGGGTATTTTTTTTGTAACAACCTTTTTTTTTATAACAACCGAATGTATTTTTTTTAATGTTTGTTACCTCAGAACATTTGACTGATTGAACCGATTTTGCTTCCCCTTTTTGAACATTTGGCTTCCCCTGTGGTCCAATTTTAATTTAATTGATATTGGATCTTGGGCTCCGGAGATACTTAGGGAACTCCTAAAAATCAATTATAAAATTAATATGGAGCGAGATATTTGAAGTCGGTTTTGTTTTTCGTTAGTAAAAAAATTATTATACTTAAAAAAAATGGTATACAATTTATATAAGCGAATTTTTGTAACGGAGGAAAAAACGTAATTTTGTGGATATTGCTGCTGGTGAAAAATTTCTTTTCTCTTTAGTTCTGTTGAGGAATTATACGAAAAATCATTTCACTTAAACTATATTGAAAAATTATTTGTAATAAACCCTGACAAACTTGTTGTATTACTTTCAATACTCATCAGACACCGTTTCCAGTATTTGGATAATTTTTTTATTAAATCTCTAACAGAATATTTGTATAATGTACATTGTATAGAGATACGGAAAACTTATTATCTCGGCGAGAATGTGATTCCAATGTAGTTTGTCAAATTTTCTAAATACCTTTTTCTTATTTTGTAAAAGCTCCTCTAGTGAAAAGGGCCCTATTACAATGTCGAAGAATACATTGTGTGGAAATGACTCATGATATGCTTACTTATATTATTAAAAAAAAGATGACAATACCGCAGAGGTTCTTGGCAGTTTTTCTATTGACAGTGGTAGTTTTTTCACGTTTAATAAGAGCTGAAAATAAGCCTATATTAATAAATAATTATATTAACTTTGATTTTATCGTACGTAGTTGTTCATCAAAACACAAAATCAGTTACACATATTTTATTTATAAAGGGAACATTTTTTGCGAAGCTCCGTTCAGTGTTTAAAGATGGCACGTAGTTGATTTTTTATCAAAACGAAATCTCCGTCGTTGCTTCGCAATCGGGGACTGTAACAGATTATAAAAGTCGTCGACCCGTCACGTCATGTATGCGCCATTCTACAACGGACTTTAAAGCTTGTATTTACTTCTGTTAAGTATCGAAACCAAAAGTTTGACTCCTCCTTGCGGACGTTTGATTAAGTTTGCGTCAAATTTAAACTTATTTTAACGCTTCCCGGCTGACGGAGAAAGAAAATTGAAATGACAAAAAGCGTAATGAAAATCTTTGTTTTTTTAATATCAATTTAATATGAAGAATAATTATGAAGCTCAAATTCTAAGCGGCCAAATTATACAAAGATTACTCAGCTTGTTTTAAGCTATTAATAGCTGAGTTCTTTTAAGCTACAAGAAAATACAAGTTGAATGCGCCACAATGAAACATTAAACAATTAATAAATTTGAATTCAATTGATTTAATTTAACACAAGAGAGCCGTGATAGCTCAGTGTCCGGGCGCTCGCCTTTAATTCAATATACTCGAGCAACCTGAGTTCGATCCCCGGTGCCGGCACCAATGAAGTTTTTAACTTTAAGTGCTGACTTATCACGTGCTACGCGGTGAAGGAAAACATCGTGAGGAAACCTGCATTTTTTCGAAATTATAACAAAAAAAAAATATTTCGAAAATATGTGAAGTCCGCCAACCCGCAATGGGGCCGCGTGGTGGACTATGCCCTGATACCCTCTGTATAGAGGAGGCCTATGCCCAGCAGTGGGACATGTATAGGCTGTTACTTTAACAAGAAACTCAAACCACTCTAGTAGCTTTTTCAGTAACCTTATTTATTACGAAATTTAAAATATATTACGGTAAATGTACTTACACAATAAAAAGTACTACGATAATACTTTTTCCATAACGATTGCAGAATGGAGCACCGTTGATTTCTCAAGGGAAAACAAGAAAATGTCAGTCGAACCGAGCCACAGAGTAATTAGACGTTATGAAACGTCTAACAAGTAAAGAGTTCTGCGTCAGATAAAGCTTTAATAGTCTCGGGACGGAAAGCACTAAAAAAAAGTAAAGAGTATGAGGCCACGTGGCGGGAAAGCTAGAATTTCATTTTTGCTTTTTATGGACTGTAAACCAGAGAATGCAGGGCCACGCAACAATGTTCGTTGGTCCACGAACCGGCGGGTCCGTCCGGGGATTATGATGCTGTCTTGTTATGAAATTCTTTCAAATATAGAATAAAATATCTGCTTTAATCGTATAGGTATTATCTATATTCCTATTGCACCACCTACGTAGTATAGGTTTCCTTTACGCCATTGATTTCCTGGAAGGGATCGCTATGAAGCGATAAGGCCACCAAATTGTACATTGCATAAATTTGTTGTTCTATTGTCACTTTTATGTATACTTTCATTTGTTGTGGACGAGTACAGGATAAACGTAATAAAGTTGCGAGATAGTGATGCAAAATAAAATAAGTCTAAATATTCGTATACCCCACAATTGTAATGAAAGTTTATAATGTAGCATAATTTGATTGAGCATTATTGGAGGAAACTATCTCGTGATTATTATAATAAATTGAGGTAATTAAAAAGTCTTTTATTCAGTCCATTTTTCTTACTTGAAGCCGTAGAACACTTTCTGCGGCGTAATTTAAGATTTCCACGTGAGCAAAGACCGCAGATAAGATTTTTTGCTACTATTAGACCCGGCGCTGGGTTCAACGGCATAAGATTTTGTTTTTTGCGCTTTATAACCATCAAAACATCATTGCCAGTAGTATTCCTATCTAATTTATGTAAAATTTAGATTGCTTACTCGTAGAGGTAAAGTTTTGCATGCAGATAGGAATTTCAGCAATGATTTAAAACCTCTCAGGTATCGGTTGTACAAGATAAAAAAAATATTTACCATAATAGATATATAGTTAACACTATTTAAACACTATTACTCTGTTTTATTAAGTCACAATTTTAGTTTAAATATTTTGAGGTAATTAAAACCTAACTTGTACGGTAAACTAAAACTGTAAGCTGTCAACAGTATTTTTTATAAAATAAATAAAGAACTGCCTCTTTTAAATGGGCTTTTTACTGTTGTATGATTCATCGGTAACGAGCGAAGAACATCTATAATTTACTTAAAAACGACAGCCTTGAAAGTAATCCAACTGGAACTGGAACCCGACTGGACCCTGATTTAATGAACTAGTAAACTAACACTAAATATATTGTTTAAAAATATAAACATTTAAAATATTTAAATATTCATATATTTATATAATTATTATTCTAAATATATAAATATTTAGTGTTATTTTATTAGTTCATTAATTCAAGAACACTGTCGAACTGTCGTTGTTGAACAGTCGATGAAATTAAATTATTTTATATTATACATATAGTGAGTTTCAAATACAAATAAGAATAGGAATCTCAATGACATCGAGCGATCGCGGTCTGCAAAACTGTCTTTTAAAAATTACTACTGGTAAAAGTACACAGAAAATTAATTTTGCAAATTTTTCATTTTTTTTAATTAAACAACCAGTGACGATTAGCAGAAAGAAAATAACCACATCAAACGAATCAAGACATACTACAAGACGACGATAACATTAGTTATATTATAAAGACGTAATAAAATGCCAATTTTGCCTAGAAATAACAGTCGGATGGAATATTTTAAATTCCTAGATAAATATATGTTCATGTTTATAGGTAAAAGCAGCAGTGATGATGCTGACGATGACGATGATGCAGAAATGTGCGGAATTGACGTGCTCGATTCCCATATTTTTTTTTCTTTTGTGCGCTTAATCTAGTGACAGTTGTCTGTTTGTGGGATTCTTTGCCCCAAATGCACATTCGACAAGCTAAGTCTCTTCTTTCTTTTAAAAATCTAGTAAAAGCTCATTATATGGAACTGTGAATTCATGCTTTCCTTTTTCTTTTTCCTATTTTTTCCGAAACTTTAGCCTATTTCATTGATGTATAAATGCCTTCATCCTGCGTTTATTACTGATTCATGTACCCCCCTCTGATCTCTTCTTTGTCTCTTTAGCAAAAATTCTTTTCGAAACGTTTGTCTGGAAGAAATCTTTGCACGTTTTATGTTTTTGGCGTGCAATAAAGTATAAATAAATTAATACAAAATTTGTTTGTAAATATTTTTTTAATGGCAATGTGAAAAAAAAAAAAAAACAAACGAGCTGTCGGTTCACCCAATATTAAGTGATAACCGCCGCCCACGGACATTTGCAACATTGGTTGCAGATGTGTTGCCACATTTTATTAATAATGTGGGCTCCGGCTACCCCACTCAGCAGACGAAACGCAGAAGTGTAAAAGTGTAACTTTACGCCGGTCTTCAATAGTTTAGTGTTAGTGTAGTGTTGTGCTCGTAGGCAGGTTCCTGTCCGTAAGTAGGATTCTACACACATTTCTCGCCTCAGAGGCGGCATTGCCTAATTTTTTAACTGTGTGCTTGTTGCATTGGGCGACAGCTAGGTACTCACCCTAGCGCACCTAAAGCGCAGGCGAATTAAGCGTTATTTTTAGGCACACTCCTCCCTGCCGCAAGGTGGGGAGGCTTATTAAGCTTACACACGCCGGCGGGGCCTAAGCCCCAAAGGCACATACGTTACGATGGGCTCCCTTTTCGAGGAGTTCGTCCGACAACGCTGTCCCGACATTTGGGAAAGCTACCTAGCGTTCGAATCCGAACAACGATTAGTCGTTGAATACGCCAACGACAGCCCGCCTTCACCGGCAATCGCATCGCCGCCATCTCTGGCGCCCTCTGCGCCCGTA